CATGCACTGGTACCAATTTTTATCAGGCTGCTGTGACTAAACTAGAACAACAATTGTAGAATGAATCAACCAATCGATATGGGTTTTATTGTTATTCTAAAATCTAAATAATGAGAGTGGGCACTTTGACAACGTAAATAAAACGTTGTCGTATCAGTGATTTGCATCCTCATTTTACCTAACCTAAATTTGTTCCCGTCACAACTTTCCGGCAAGTTCCAGTGATGTTACATGCTTCCCACCACATTCGTCTCTTCAGGTTTCATCATGAACAGAAGTAGCCACTTTGCCCGGAAATGTGTGGTCTGCTGTTTTGCATCATCCTCTTAGCTTTTTCAGAATCGAAAGTAGAATGCCAACATGATGATAGTGGCCCAGGTAGTCAAGGCAAACACATATCGTGCAGTTCGGGCCAGAATCTGTCCTTCACCCACTTGCAAGTTGACCACGGTACACGCGGCAATAATATTGTTGAGACAAATTCCATTTCCGGCCGAACCTCCGACGGCTTGGAGCGCAAGCATGGCGGTGGTGCTCACCCCAATCGATTCGGCGGCAATGGCTTGAATGTCACCAAATGTCAAGTTGGACACGGTGGTACTTCCCGAAAAGAAGGAACCAAGCGCTCCGAGTAGGGGTGTAATCACCACGAATCCTTCTTGGAACCAATCGGCCAAGATGGTTCCCACCACGAATGCTGGAGAAGAAGTTCCTCCACGAATCAAAAGTTGCACCAAGACCAAGGCTCCAAATAAGGCCATGGCAGGATTCTTTAGTCGTCCCGCAACCACGAGGACCACTTGTTTGGGAGTCTGACTGAGCTTCTTCCGGAACAATCCAAAGGTCAAGAAGGAAATGAAACTGAACAAAAAGAAAGGAAGATAGATAAACTCGTACTTCCAGGACAAGTTCGGATAGGTCAAAATGTTCTTGAGCTGAAAGACAATGCTTGCCGATAATCGGAAGGTTCCAAATGTCCCAAAATGAATTTCAAAATTGGGTTCTTGATCCGTCAAGATTTCTTTGAGCCCAATCTCCTTGATGCGCGTCAAAATCAGCAGGACCACCACACCCCACACAGGAAAGGTCCGGGCAAAAACCTCACGCAGAAAGCCTTGGCCCCATCCCTTGCGGGGTCCCAAGGCGTCGTCCAAAGCTTGTTGTTGGGATACCACGGCGGCTTCCTCGCGATTCTTGGTTCCAACAATCCCCTCGGCCCCGGCAATGGCGACCGAGTCAGGTTTGTTCGAGGTAGTATCGCCCACAGCAGCAACATCTTCATCGTTTTGATTGGTTGTTGGAGCATGTTCTTCAATTTCTTCACTTTCATTAGCCAATTCGACATCGTCCTTGCCCTTTCTGTGATCGGAATGGTATTCCAGTAGTTCTAAATCGTCTTGTGTCAAGTCTTTGAGACCAACCTTGAAGCTAATCAAAGCGCCAGTAATGCCCATGCCCACCAATCCTCCGATGAGCGATGGAAATTCATAGCTCACAAAGGAGACTCCCAGCAATGGTCCCATGGTACCAATGATTGCAAGATAAATAAACAGCAAATTCTTGCGGATCAACTTCCAGGGCAAGAGAATGGTCAATACCCATGGGAGCAAGACCAAACAACCCGTACCCATGGCCACAGCAGCCTTGCTGGAAATGGACAAGTAGTCATCTTCGGTCAAATCTTTCAATCCACCAAAGCCAAACCAAATGGGGGTGCCGACGGCACCCCACACGGTAGCAAAGGTATTGAACACCAATAGCAAGACAACGGATTCCAATTTCGGATTCCCCGTCGACACGAGCATGGGCGCTCCCAAGGCCACGGGAGTTCCAAAGCCAGAGGCACCCTCCACCATGGTGGCAAAGGAAAAAATCAACATGCATTCGGCAATCGGATGTCCATTGGTCAAAACTTTCATTTCTCGCATCATGTAGGGCAAGCAATAGGTGGATTCCATGGTTTCGAACAGCATCATGGCGCCCGCAATGATACTCAATGGAGTCAAGGCTTCCAACAAGCCCAACAAGACGCAGGCGGCAGCCAATAAGGGATCTCCGGCCAAGTACATGGTCCTCACAAGAAACATGCAGAGAGCCGCAAAGGGCAAACTAAAGGAAGTCGGCCAAGGATTAGGTTTGACCGTGACAATGATGAGCAACAAAATGGGCAAGAGACCAAAAATCACATCCAGGGCTTCCACGTCCCAAGGTCCTTGGACGTCCAGGGGAATGACGGAGCATTCACAAGCTTGACAGGCTTGCAATCCGACGCAAGTGGCCGCACAAGCATCAACACTGGCAGGGTCTTGACAGGAATAAGCAAACGACATGCCTTCTGCTGCTTCAGTTGCATTTGACATGTTCACGCTTCTTTTGTGCTGTGATGTACGAATAAAAATGAGTGAATATCTTTTTTATGTGGTTTTCCAATGATAATCTGATATCTGGCACTTTGACATGGGGGTTCGGATTGACATCGCTTTTCTGCGGACTTGATTCATTGAATTCTTCTCCTTGTGATGGCAGGAGGCAGGCATGCGGCCACTACAATAGTGGCAATGCACATTGCAATATGTTCCAATGACATGGCAATCGTCAGTCTTCCCAATTCTACATAACTTTCCTCAATTTCTCCTAAGCACTTTGACAACAGGGTTCGCGTTGACATCGATTTACTGGCGGCCTTGATTGAATCAATTCTTCTCCTCGTGATGGCAGTCTTCTCGATAGAACCTTGAAGAACTTCCAGGAATTTCAAAATATGATTTCTTTAATGAAATTTTAATTAAGAGTACAGTATGTACT